TGGTATATATATTCTGTCGATCTATTTAAACCTGCTACTGACATACATCTACAGAGCCTCTATGACACTCTTTTTGAATTTCGCTGATAATTTATGAGTGGGTCAGGTACCCTGGAGATGCACACCAGTTGCATCTGGGTTGGTAATAGTCAGTGAACACCCCTCCCCCCCCAGGCTATGAGGACCCCCTAATGATATAATAACGCCAACAGTAGCTGTGATTCTACAGTTTCGCAGAAATTGGGCAATGATCTTTAATTGCCTTCAGGTTCATTACTGAAAATGAGAAATGTGCTGATTTTAGAGAACATTTCTCATAAACTGAGCGGGGGGAAAAAAACTGCAATTTTTCTAATTTAGAGCCCCGCTTGCTGCAAACAACAGGCGCAGGCGACAGGGAGCTTCAGTTTGATGATATTCATTATTAAAGCCGATATAAACCCAATCAGTAAAATCTCACAGAAGCTTTATCACGTCATTTCATTTCAGAAGTTGTTTTCTACTTTTACATTTTTTAAAAATTAAACTAATCCCTGGTGATCCTGCTGTGAGGGTCCTTCTTCAGGAATTTTCTGTTAACCCTTTCGCTGCCATCTGTATTCAAATATGATATGATCAGGGGAGGACTGACAACTCATGGGGCCCCTGGGCATTAGGGGATCATGGGGCCCCTGTGTCCTTGCCACACTCAAAGCACACCCAAAAAAGCCTATAAAAGGTACCAGGGGCATTGCATGGGGCCCCCTACTGACCCCGGGCCCTCGGGCAGTGCCCGAGTACTCGAAATGATCAGTTCGCCCCTGGATATGATCCATATAGTATGGAGGGAGGGGGCAATGTTGGCAGGAATGGCTGAGCTGCTTTTTCTTGATATATGTTTTTAGGGGATTTTACCCCAAGATATTTTAACCCCTCGCCTACCGGGCACTTTCACCCCCTTTCCCCCCAGGCCAATTTTCAGCTTTCAGTGCTGTCACACTTTGAATGACAATTGTGCGGTCATGCAACACTGTACCCAGATGAAAGTCTTATCATTTTTTTAGACAAATAGAGCTTTCTTTTGGTGGTATGTAATCACCTCTGGGGGGGGGGGGGTTTATCTTTTGCTAACCAAACAAAAAAAGACCAAAAATATTGAATAAAAAAAGGTAATTTTTCTACTTCACTGATTTGTGCTGATGAAGCTGCACTGATGGGCACTGATGAGGCTGCACTGATGGGCACAGATAGGCTGCACTGATGGGCACTGATGAGGCTGCACTGGCCAGCAGCACTGATGGGCACAGACACTGCACTGATGATGAGGCTGCACTGAAAGGGCGCTGATATGCAGCACTGATAGGCTGCATTGATAGGTACTGATGAGGCCGCACTGATGAGGATGCACTGATAGGCGGCACTGATGGGCACAGATAGGCTGCACTGATGATGAGGATGCACTGATATCAGTGCCCATCAGGGCCACCTATCAATGCAGCCTCATCATCAGTGCAGCCTATCTGTGCCCATTAGTGCCCTATCAGTGCAGACTCATGCTGCAGTGCTGCCTATCAGCAGCCTCATCATCATCAGCCTATCTGTGCCCATCAGTGCAGCCTCATCAGTACCCATCAGTGCAGCCTATCAGTGCAGACCATCAGTGCTGCACATCAGTGCCGCCTATCAGTGCAGCCTCATCATCAGTGCAGCCTATCTGTGCCCATCAGTGCAGCCTCATCAGTACCCATCAGTGCAGTCTATCAGTGCCCATCAGTGCTGCACATCAGTGCCCATCAGTGCCGCCTATCAGTGCAGCCTCATCATCAGTGCAGCCTATCTGTGCCCATCAGTGCCGCCTATCAGTGCAGTCCCCATCAGAGTCCCCTCTTAAATGAGAGTCCCCACTACAGCCCTTTACATCGTAGCACCCGTATAATCAGAGTGCCCCTTAACATAAGAGTCCACATCTCAGAGTCCCCCCTTACATTAGAGTTCCAATTGGAACCTCCTTACATCAGAGCCGCCTTAAAAACATTAACATTGCAGCCCTTCTTACATCAGATTCTCCCCTTTCATGAAAGTCTCTATCAGAGTGCCACCTTACATCAGGGTCCCTATCAGAGTCCCCTAATTACATCACAGCGCTGAATAAAAATTTGGGGCCCACAGGCCATAGTTTGGAGTCCCCTGATGTAAACCAACCTAAAGACTTGCTTACCATCAACTAACACATTAGGCCCTCCCACTGCAAGCCTGCTTTCAACTTTCAGCTGATATTGGAGATCGGATTATTACATTAGTGGTGTGATTTTTTTTTTTTGTAACATTTGAAGGGATACTTCAGTGAAGGAATGAATATTTTTATATATTTACCAAATATGTAGCATATGGGCTGCCTGCAGAAGATGGCTATCGGTCTAATCTCCCTCCGACTGACAACCTCCTCCCGCCGCACCGCCGAGAGACAACTAGGAAATGGATTGGTCTGGGAAATGCTCCATGTTAATAGTGTCTTCAGAGGCAGTGCATGTGAATGCATTACAATTGAATGGCGGGGTCTGTTATCAGGGAGGAACACCAGTGGGAGGGGGGGGGGGCAATGGCATTTTGTCTGCTTTACCAATAGCCAACCTGTGAATGAAAGTCGCAGCAGAGATATATACAACGCAGCACTAAATAAAAAGCCGACAGCTCCAGTATATAGACACGCTAAATACAACCTAACAACGCCAAGATATTTCTCTATTTATGTGTTTTTTGTGTTTTTTTACAACATCAATTATTTGATACAATTATGCAAATCAAGCAAGTTGGCAAACAGCTCTCAGCTTTTTACCTTTCCCCTGCTGACACTGGAGAATTCTTCTGGATTGATCAAAGGTCAAGCCAGTTTAAATCTCCTTCTATATATGCATTACGGCTCTGGCACAATGGCAGTTGAGCCCATTAAATGTTCAGGTTTTCTATTCTTCGTTCATACAATAGCACCGCCGTATACATGAGTCCAGCAGTGCACAGTCATTCATGTCAACGAGAGGCTGTATGCTGAGCCTGGGATGCCCACGTGGAGGAAATAGAGGGTTGATTTACTAAAGGCAATTAGACTGTGCACTTTACAAAGCTGCAAATGTAGTTGCTCCAGAGGTTAGTAAATGAGCAGAAGCTCTGCTGACTTCCATCGTCCAATCATATACAGTACAAGCAAAATTGCTGTTTTTTTTTCCTTGCACGCGATTGGGTATTCTTTGCAAAATTAAGTTTCACCTCATTTACTAAAAAAAATGCAAAAACCGATCTGGCAGCAAAAGGGTTAAAGAGTGACAACACTTTGTCCCTGTCTCCCCAATTGTGCTCCTGCGTTGTCACCAGGGATGAGCATTAACGTGTTCTGATCAGGGGCGGACAGACAACTCATGGGGCCCCCGGGCAATAGGGGATCATGGGGCCCCTGTGTCCTTGCCCAAACTCAAAAAAGCCTATGAAAAAGGTACCAGGGGCATCTCATGGGGCCCCCTTCTGACCCTGGGCCCTCGGGCAGTGCTCGAGTTTCCAAATGGTCAGTCCTCCCCTGGTTCTGAACCAAGTCCGAATGGCATTCGATGAAAGGGTTGCGCCGACACGCATTGTGCAGGGATGGTCCGTCATTCCAGAGCAAAGATGTGCAGCTGGCGCTGCAGCCAGAGCATGTAGACAGGAGGCGGCTGGAAGAGGCTGCAGGAGATCAGCACTAGGGAGATGGGGAAAAGGGTGCAAAAAGGTGGCAGAATGACTTTATGAAAATAAATAAGCATGACAAATGTGTAGATGCACTGTGCAAACTGTGGGGTTGATTTACTAAAGGCAATTAGACCGCGCACTTTGCAAAGTTGCCCAAAGATTAATAAATGAGCAGAAGCTCTGCTGACTTCCATCATCCAATCATTTACAAACAAAAATGCTTTTTTTTTTTTTCCTTGCACGTGATTGGGTGTTCTTTGCAAAGTGAAGCTTCACCTCATTTACTAAGCTCTGGAGCAACTGCAGTTTGCAAAGTGCACAGTCTGTTTGCCTTTAGTAAATCAACCCCTAAGCCCGGGTTCACACTGATGCGGTGCGGAATTCGCAGCAGTTTCTGTGCGAATTGTACGTCGCATCAGAATTGCACCCCGTTCATGCGAACCGCGGCGGGTGTGCATGTTACATTAACAACACAATCAGTCCGCAAAACGTGGTGCAATGTGCAGAATCTGATCGCATAGGTGTGAATACCCATGCGGTCTGATTCTAGTGCGGACCTAAAAAAGGGTGCTGTACCTTTTTGGTGTGGATATGGTGCGATTTGAGCCATACAAAATGTACGACTCCGATCGCACCGCACAGAATCCGCATGTGATTTGTAGAGGAATGCGGTGCGATATGCCGTACCACACAAGAGTGAACCTGGGCTAAATGTCATCCAGTAATGGTTTACAGTACCTTGAAAAAGTATTGATACCCTTTGAAGTTTTCCACATTTTGTCATGTTACAACCAAAAACGTTAAATTGGGATTTTATGTGATAGACTCCAAACTCCAAACTGTGGCCCAGGGGCCAGATGTGGCCCTATTGTTTACTTTTATCCTGCCCTTGGGCACTATTTTTTTACACCGATATCAACAATGGCGCATAATTTCCCCCCCTGACACCATTAAAGGGGCAGAATAACTCCCAATAACAGGTCACAAATTCTCCCAATGACACCAACAATGGGGCACAATTTCTCTCAATGACTCCAATGATGGGGCACAATTCCTCCCAATGACGCCAATAATGGGGCACAATTACTCCCATTGACACCAATGATGGGGCACTATTCCTCCCAGTGATACCAATGATGGGGCACAATTCCTCCCAGTGACACCAATGATGGGGCATAATTCCTCCCAGTGACACCAATGATGGGGCACAATTCCTCCCAGTGATACCAATGATGGGGCACAATTCCTCCCAATGACGCCAATAATGGGGCACAATTACTCCCATTGACACCAATGATGGGGCACTATTCCTCCCAGTGATACCAATGATGGGGCACAATTCCTCCCAGTGACACCAATGATGGGGCATAATTCCTCCCAGTGATACCAATGATGGGGCACAATTCCTCCCAATGACTCCATTGATGGGTCACAATTCCTCCCAATGACTCCAATAATGGGGAACAATTCCTCCCACTGACTCCAATAATGGGGCACAATTTCTCCCAATGACTCCAATAATGGGACATAATTCCTCCCAATGATGCCAATAATGGGGTACAATTCCTGCCACTGACACCATTGATGGGTCACAATTCCTCCCAATGACTCCAATAATAGGACATAATTCCTCCCAATGACTCCAATGATGGGGCACAATTCCTCCCACTGACACCATTGATGGGTCACAATTCCTCCCAATGACTCCAATGATGGGGCACAATTCCTCCCAATGACTCCAATGATGGGTCACAATTCCTCCCAATGACTCCAATAATGGGGCACAATTCCTCCCAATGACTCCAATGATGGGTCACAATTCCTCCCAATGACTCCAATAATGGGGCACAAATCCTCCGCATGCTGCAAGTGCAGTTGCTCTACAGCTTAGTAAACGAGCAGAAGCTCTGGTGACTTCCATAATCTAATCATGTGCGAGCCAAAATGCTGGGATTTTTTCCTTGCATGTGATTGGGTATTTTTGGCAAAGGGAAGCTTAATTTAATTTACTTAGCTCTGGAGCAACTGCGCTTGCAGAGTGCATTTCCACTTTGCAAAGTGCACAGTCTATTTGCCTTTAGTAAATCAACCCCTATGCCGGCAATTACTTGAATGGGCTCAGTCACCTGTGTGTGCAAGAGCCCTAATGCTGTCTCAGAGCATAAAGCTTTTTGTATTCAAAACATTACCAATAACATATAAAACCATTTATAACTCCGCTCCAAATTCCATCACCGATCTTGTCTCCAAATATCACCCAAACCGTCCTCTCCGCTCCTTCCACGACCTCCTGCTCTCTAGCTCCCTCCTCCCATGCTTGCCTCCAGGACTTCTCCAGAGCTTCCCCCATCCTCTGGAACTCACTACTCCAATCTATCAGACTATCGCCTACTCTAGTCACTTTTAGGCGATCTCTGAAAACCCATCTCTTCAGGGAAGCCTATCCTGCCCTCAGCTAATAATGGAATCTTCTACTCTTCCAACCAGTCCATCCCCCACAGTTATTACCTTTTGTACCACTAACCCCGCCCTCCTAGATTGTAAGCTCCCAGGATCAGGGCCCTCCTAACCCTCTTGTATTGAACTGTATTGTTGCTGTATTGTCTCCCGTTATATTGTAAAGTGCTGAGCAAACTGTTGGTGCCATAAATCCTGTATTATAATAATAATAATAATAATAATTTTGTATCTGGAATGTCCAGAAACCTTTTAGATGCACATGCTCCCTAGGCTAGCTCACAACCGACTTGTAGGGGGCAACAAAAGAAATGTACGTCTTAAAGTGTGCGGGTAATACCATCTTCCATTCCTTATCTCAGCAATCAGCCGGCCATTATGAGACACTAGTTACTTTTCAAGCTTGGTTCTCAAACACCAGGGCCTGGAAATTCTTCCACAACCTTCCATTCCCCAACAGCAAAAAAAAGTTTATAAAGACAATAAAAGTACGGGACTACAAAATACAGTCAGGTCCATAAATATTGGGACATCGACACAATTCTAACATTTTTGGCTCTATACACCACCACAATGGATTTGAAATGAAACAAATAAGATGTGCTTTAACTGCAGACTGTCAGCTTTAATTTGAGGGTATTTACATCCAAATCAGGTGAGCGGTGTAGGAATTACAACAGTTTGCATATGTGCCTCCCACTTGTTAAGGGACCAAAAGTAATGGGACAGAATTATAATCATAAATCAAACTTTCACTTTTTAATACTTGGTTGCAAATCCTTTGCAGTCAATTACAGCCTGAAGTCTGGAATGCATAGACATCACCAGACGCTGGGTTTCATCCCTGGTGATGCTCTGCCAGGCCTCTACTGCAACTGTCTTCAGTTCCTGCTTGTTCTTGGGGCATTTTCCCTTCAGTTTTGTCTTCAGCAAGTGAAATGCATGCTCAATCGGATTCAGGTCAGGTGATTGACTTGGCCATTGCATAACATTCCACTTCTTTCCCTTAAAAAACTCTTTGGTTGCTTTTGCAGTCTGCTTTGGGTCATTGTCCATCTGCACTGTGAAGCGTCCAATGAGTTCTGAAGCATTTGGCTGAATATGAGCAGATAATATTACCCGAAACACACTTTGGATCTCATCTTGAGAGTTGACAGCAACAGATTCCAAATGCAAATAGCACACTTGAAATGCACTCTGGACCTTTTATCTGCTCATTGTAATTGGGATAATGAGGGAATAACACACACCTGGCCATGGAACAGCTGAGAAGCCAATTGTCCCATTACTTTTGGTCCCTAAACAAGTGAGAGGCACATATGCAAACTGTTGTAATTCCTACACCGTTCACCTGATTTGGATGTAAATACCCTCAAATTAAAGCTGACAGTCTGCAGTTAAAGCACATCTTGTTTGTTTCATTTCAAATCCATTGTGGTGGTGTATAGAGCCAAATATGTTAGAATTGTGTCGATGTCCCAATATTTATGGACCTGACTGTATATATCAAAATGCTGGAATGCTCTGGATTGGGTTAGGTGTCACTGTGAGGGATTCTGGAAGTGAATAGGGGGCTCTGCAGCAGGTTTGGTGGCCCTGTAGAGTATGAGGTTTCTGCTGGGGTCTCTCCAGGAGGCCTAGGGCTTGGTAGGGGGGCTGCAAGAGACTGAAGGGCACCACGGGAGCGACGGAGCACTATTGGAGGTTGGGAGGCATTGTAGGATACTATTGGATTAACCAGAGGCTCTGGGGGGTTGAGATGCATTGTGGCACACTGTTGGATTGGCTTGAGGCTCTGGAGCAGGCTAGGGGTAGCTATGGGAGGTTGGGAAGGCATTGTGGGACACTGTTGGATTGGCTGGAGGCACTGCTGCAGGCTAGGTTGTGCTGTGGGAGGTTGGGAGCACAGCCGGGACTAGGGGGCGGGGGGCAAGCAGGCACCTTGCCTGGGCACTGTGCTGAGAGGGGGTGTTGCCGGGTTTGCCACTCATCCTGCTTCTTACTGACAGGAGTGACTGCAGTGTCACTGCTGTCAGTAGGAGCAGTGGCTGATAGCTGCTGCTAGAGGGAGGATTCAGCTTTCTCGTTCTTCCAGCCTGCATGGGGCAGAAAAAAGAACTGAGAACTGTCATCAGTTTTAGGATGGAGGGCAGACTGTCATGTGACTTGAAAGGAGTAAGGAAGGAGGTGCTGTGAGCACAGATCTTCCAGTACAAGGTGAAAGGGGAGGCAGCAATTTGGGAGTGTGGAGACACCTGATATAAAGGGGGACTCTATTGGGGACAGCTGATCTAAAGGAGGTTTCTATCTGGGGACACCTGATGTAAAAGGGGACTCTATTGGGGACACCGGATGTAAAGATCTCTAACTGGGGCCACCTAATGTAAACGGGGACTCTATTGGGGACACCTGATGTAAAGGTGGACTCTATTGGGGACACCTGATGTAAAGGGGGTCTCTAACTGCGGACACATGATGTAAAGGGGGGCTCTGTTGGGGACACCTGATGTAAAGGGGGACTATACTGAGGACACCTGATGTAAAAGGGAACTCTACTGGGAACACCTGATGTAAAGGGGGACTCTATTGGGGAACACCTGATGTAAAGGGGAACTCTACTGGGGACTCCACCTGGCAGGGGGCGCAATTCGCCATCTTCACCCTGGTCGCTGGATGACCTTGTCATGGCACTGGTTGGGAGGTATTGTGGAGGCTCTGCATCAGGCTTGGGGGTGCTGTGGGAGGTGAGGACATTGTGGGACACGGCTGGATTGGCTGGAGGCCCTGCATTAGGCTTGGGGGTGCTGTGGGAGGTTAGGACATTGTGGGACACGGCTGGATTGGCTGGAGGCCCTGCATCAGGCTTGGGGGCTGGGAGGTGAGGACTGTGGGAGGTTAGGACATTTAGTGGGACACGGCTGGATTGGCTGGAGGCCCTGCATCAGGCTTGGGGGTGCTGTGGGAGAGGTGAGGACATTGTTGCATCAGGACACGGCTGGATTGGCTGGAGGCCCTGCAGCAGGCTTGGGGGTGCTGTGGGAGGTTAGGACATTGTGGGACACGGCTGGATTGGCTGGAGGCCCTGCAGCAGGCTTGGGGGCGCTGTGGGAGGTTAGGACATTGAGGGACACTGCTGGATTGGCTGGAGGCTCTGCAGCAGTCTAGGGGGCACTTCAGGGAGCTTTGCGGCACTTTGGCAGGCTTTGGTGACTCTGTGGGAGATTGGGTGGCACTATGGGAGTTGGTGGGAGGATCACACTGTGGAAGCTGGGATGCACCATGGTAGGTTATGGGGATCTGCAGCTGGCAGGTGCTTTACTGAGAGCTGATTACTGAGTGCACTGTGTATAAAGCTGGCCATGCACCAGCAGAACTTTGTTATTCGAACGAATGGAATTCTGACTGAATGCTGTCTTTGTTTTGGAAAAATAACACATATTGTAAGGAAACCTGTTTAATACGTCTGCAATTCTGTCCATCCATCCTTCACATCAAAGTCCCATTTCACATCATTCCCCTTTACGTCAGAGGCCCCCCCTTTGTATCAAAAGCCCCTCTCTATATCAGACCCCCCATTTCCATCAGAAGCCCCCTTTACATCAGACCCCCCCCCCCCTTTTACGTCAGAACCCCCTTTCACATTAGAGTCCCCTCTCTGATATTGGAGTCCCCCATCACATCAGAGCACCTTTTTCACATTAGAGCTCCCCTCCGATTACACATCAGTGCCCCCCTTGGGATAAGGTGCTCCAGGCTGGGTAAAATCTTGTAGCGGGCAAGAAGTGTCCCATGGGCTGTAGTTTGGTGATCCTGGTCCTATAGGATGGGTTTGCATAGACCCCCTTCTGGGACCTACGAGACGTAAAAATCAGGGACAGCTAAATAGTATATAAATAATATATTTGTAACAAATATTTGACCTTTACCTTGCTACAATCCTTGTCCTGCATTGCAGCAACATCCTGCGAGTGTAACGTCCTCCGCAGCACACATTGCAGATTCATTTTTATCCTTATGGGGATAGATAATACCATTCAACTTGTCACTTCCAACTAGTCCATTCCTGGCATCTCCTGGGCCTCCCACAGGAAGCGTGTCATATCACATGTAGGTCTTATGTTATTCATGTAAAATATGCCTCTGAGGCCAACGCAAGAGGACCTGTCACTCATACATAGCTTCATGTGAACAAGAGATGTGTGTGGGGCAACGATTACTGTGTGTTACTGTTGTCACAAAACAAACCCATGCTTGCCATTGCACCTGGAAGAACATCCCATATTCATTCACATGGGGAGGGAGGATGTCTGGAGGCACCTTTATTATTCAAGGTGGTTATCCAGTTTCCAGTATGACCCCCTGACCACAGATCCTCACAACCACCAGCTAGGGTGGTGGAAAAGAGTCCTTTGTCATCATCAACATGAAACATGAAACATAGGGACATTTTGCTTTGCCAGAGGAGTCCCCCCCCCCACTCCCAAAAGTTGTTGGGGATACAACAGCATGTACTATATAGTATTGTG